ACACGCGCGCGCGCGCGCGCACACACATACACTCACACATATTCACACACTCAGACACATGCACACACTCTGATACATGCACACACACACACACACGAACAAACAAACACACACACGAACAAACAAACACACACACAAACACACATACACACACACACACACACACACAAATGATTAAAGTGCACCAAGCAAGTGTGTGTGTTTGGGTGGGGGGTCAAGGGACGCTTTGCTTTCTGAACAGGAGGAAGAAGGGCGGAGAGAAAAGTGTTAACAAATGTAATACAATAACAGCATGTGTAAGATCTGTATTCATTCGTCCTGGTGACACGCATAATATGTGCCAATTTAACCCTATCCGTACGCCCTGGTGTAATTTTATACCCCCGGGGTTGTATTCTTCACATTTTAGAATACTTCGAGTACGAAGATCTCTTTGAAACATTCAGTATTTCTTTAAAAAATCGTTTTGACAAGCTGCTATGCAATGTAAAGCGTACGAGTTGGATTAACGAGTAAATTTCTTCTTCGGAAAGTGGTAGCACAGAGTTCCCCACGTCGTATGGATACGATAGTAATACACGACGTAGGGATAGGGTTAATGGATAAAATGTATGCTCGATTACATAGTATCATGCTTCGCATAAATTAAAGAGGAAGAAACAACCTTTTCAAGGGGTTTTTATGTTAACTAACTTAGGTATGCAATAGTAACAATAGGCTATACAGAACTCGACTGCTGAACATTAGAATAAGAGGTTAGCGTAAACACAAACCTGAAAATTGTACTGGCTTACCAATTTGATTTTCATATCTCCATTCTAAACGATTACAGAGTGCATCAATTAGATTTCAATCACATTTCTTTTTTTACCAGTGTCGCTTTTGGTTGTATTATTATATCTACCTCTACAAACCAAAAGAGCATATAAAAAAATATTACATTTTCAATATCTAAATTTGGCAAGTGATCAAATGTGTCACAAAAGCATTTTAACGCCCCGGCGGAAAGAAATAAGGACTGAAAGTGAAAGTGTTTCGGGATCCTCAATAGATAGAGAACTCGGCTGAATCAAAAAGCTTTGGAGCGAGAACAGAAAGTAAACTAGAACTGATGGGAGATGTGACGCACTGGTTCACATTTTTGCCTGTCGCCACGAGGAAAGAATAGGTCTTCCTTGTGTGCTTCAAATACCTTAGGCATTACCTCCCTTGACATTCAGTCTATTGGTTTTTTTATTTGTAGGCCTAAGTGTTTTACGGCGCTCGCAACTGCTAAGGTCATATGAGCGCGCGGCACACATAAAACATTTTCGGTTGCTACGAAATTTTGAATTTAGCCTGGTTGGCGGCCGAAGCCTACTCTTATCGATTTTAGACCTCCAAGGGATCTTTATAGTGCACAACTTGCACACGGGACCTCAGTGATTTTTCGAGCTTGTCCGAGAAGACTAGGTGTAGATCTGTCCTACCAGAAGACCAGGGCTGCGGCTGAAAGACAGCAGTAAGAAGGAGCCAAGGAGAAACTGTAGTAAAAAGGCTGCAAAAAGAGCCAGGAGCCCATAGGAGAGGACAAAGGAGGTGAGGCAGTGGGGACAGAAAGTGGAGACGAAAGCAGGCGACAGAATATTGTTAGAGATCAGGAAAGGAGGGGAAAGGAGATAATTTTAGATAAGAAAATGTTTCCGTCACTACCCAGATTCGAACTTTGAATGATAGGCGAACACCTTAACCTCTAGGCCACGAGAGCCCCCTATTCAGTCTACGTATGTATGTATGTATGTATGTATGTATGTATGTATGTATGTATGTATGTATGTATGTATGTATGTATGTATCTATCTATCTATCTATCTATCT